AGAAAGCCCTGCAAATGTTTGAAAACTTCCCCATATTTAAAGTAAGCTTCCTTCACATGCAAATGGAAATATAATAAAAATGTGTGTATGTGAAAGCACCCAGATGTGTCAGGGGTAGTGCTAGCCTGGAACTGTCTCTCAGACCAGGACATGCCACTTTGTATGTGGAGGGCCATTTTGAAAGACCCAGGGAAGCACTCAAAGAGTTGATCCCTTATTTGTAACCTGAAGAGGTTTAGCCCATTGACAGTGCATCAAGTCAGATTGCAGATCATATGGCTTGGCTCTCTGATGCAGAGCAGGGGTGCTGTGCATGAGGAAACACACTGAGGCTGCAACAGTGCTGTCCTTATGGGTGAAACTGCCAGTGCCTCCTCTCCTCCAAGGCAAACATAAAGAAGTTGTGAAGAAGGCACCCTTTTGAGCAAGGTGCTGTCTGGCTGCATTTCTGCACTCTTTGCTGGGATCTTTTTCACCTCCAATGAAACAATGTCAGCCAGTGTTCCCTGCAGTAAGTGTTGTATGGCAATCATCTGATATCCGCAGAAACACATTTTGGCGCCCGCATGGTGCTGGTGCTTATAGTAACGGGGGCACTATGGAAAATATTGCCAGCTGGCATTTACAGTGCCAGTTTGTTTTTATCTCGGGACAAGAACCTAGGTGGCAAAGCATCCTTACCTTAAGGAAAAATGCAGAAAATAATACTAATAGAAAAGCAATCTTCACAAAAGTGTGCTGAAGTATAGTTCAAGAACGCAGGTTGGAATGGGATCGGCAATCACCCAGTATATCCTGAGGCGCCAAATGAACACTTACAGAACATGGAACTCAGCAGATAGAGTTGTATCCAAAATTACACTAAAGGAAAGCATGCAAGTGTTCTGCCAGCACTTGTGCAACACGGCGGTGGTGGTGGGGGGGGGGGGACGGGACGGAGGACACGACTAGCACAAGGAACAACTTATGAAGTCCTAATTTATATTTAGAAAAGTACAAGTAGTAGATTTTACACCTTTGCAAGAATGAGCATAGAATTTCAGCAAGCATTAGAAGTTTTGTGCAAGTAAAATGACACTACTGGATACAGCCCATAGAAGGTAGATTTTAGCCTAAGTATGTGTACTCACAGTTTAGCCTCAGCAGTATAATGGACCAGAAAATGGTGGATTTAGACTGGAGAGCTAAAAGGTGGCTCATTGACTTATGAAATGGCATTGTAAAAAGACACACAGTGCAAGACCTGTCAAAATGTAGACAAACAGTGGTATAGCAATAATAATATGCATGTCTGTTTAATAGTTAAACTGCCCTCTGGCACCAGTCACCATCTGGAATTTGACTGAATGTGTTGCTTTGACTGTGGGATGGATACCTGTGCAACCCATATTAAGCATGGATTTTATGATGCATGTCTGTCACTAGGCTTCTGATGAACCTAATTGGGGAATGATAAATGTCCAGTTGGCCTCTCACAAAAGATATTGTAAACACTTAGGAAGTACCAATGGCACGTGATAGATAATACTACTATACTGTAAAAGCTTGTTCATTTAAAATAGTATATATTTACAGAATTAGTTTAAAGAAGAGCACACAATTCTGCATGACCATTTTTTGTAGCATTCTTTAGGTGATAATATCAGAAATTTAACCAGTGATGCCTTAATTGTAATGAATCCATATTTTTGCTAACCATGATGGCCTTAATACTTTAAGGCTTTGCATTTTATGTAAACAAGACCTTAAACAGCAGAAAGAAGAATGGCAGACGCACTTGCCAGTTACAGAAAGTACTTCCTCTTCATATTTATGAGGTGACATTGTGCAGGTATATTGGTGCCCAGAGCATTGTCTGGACTCCTGCGATACAGCAAACTTGCTGAACCTTGACAAGCCCTAACCTGATGAATAACTGGGTAGGAGACTGCTGGGAACCCATGTTCCCCACCTTGAGTTCTGTCATGGTTGAAATAGGAGATAAAATTAACAAATGGAATAACAGTACACAGGCAGTCAACATAAATAGGAATCCCAGTTGTACTATTTTGTCTGTCATTGTTTTATACTCTAGACTTGATTATATGCTCTTTTTTAAAAATAAGTTTTATTCTAAGTAAAGCTAATACAAAGAAAAACTAAAAAACAACATCAATCATTGGAAACATCGGACCTACTGGGTCAGCCCCCCTCATTTTTTCTTTTTATGTTAACTTATGAACATATTTAAATCTATGCGAAGCCCCGTTTCTCTAGCCAATAATAAAAAGAGTCCCAAATTTGATAGAAGTTAGTATCGTCTTTCTCCTTCAGTGACAAAGTCAATCTGCCCATTTCTGCACAGTCCAAGATCTTCTTTAGGATCAGTTCATCAGTGAGTGGCTCTTCACTCTTCCAGTGCTGGGCAAATGCAGTCCTCGCCACAACTTGATTATATGCTCTTGTCCACCCCATGATCCCAAGTGAGGGTTTCAGGCAATTATCTTTACAAGCTCCAGTAGTGAAAAAGATTTTCAGGATAACAGTAAGAGTTGCTAGTCCATATGTGAAATCTTCCTGCAGTTCTACAGTAAAATAGAGAAAGAATAGGTGTTTGTGCCCTGAATATAGTTCCCCTGAGCCACTGTGCTGATTGGACTGTCTTCTTTCCCAGTGAACATTATGGTTTATCAGTACACTACTTTTTCTACAGAGCCTTGAATCTGAGAGGTTACAAATAACCATGCCTGTATTGTACAGGAAAGCCTACAATAACATTTGAAAGAAGATGAGTAAAACATCTTTTTCCCTTTTGGGCTTTTCCTCACGTCACTCTATGGGAAAATATCAAATGGAATTTCCTGTATTTGTAGGGTCTGTGTGATGGATTTGGACTAATTCATGGTTTAAGAGAGGCTCACATTTTCCAATGCTTCAAAGATGGGGCAGGGGAAGGAATGCAAGGAAGCAATGCTTTCCTTAGGATGTTTGTGATGTATAATATGAAATTTCAGGTTACACAGAACTCTTTCTATTTCTGAATGATTAAGAAAGTTAAAGGAAAAACACCAGATGGGCCATGGGGCAGTATCCTAGGTTACTGCTGTGCTCCTGTGGGCACAAATGAAAATTATCACTTCAAAAAAGAATCCTGGAAATAAGTAGAAATACTTATTTCTAGACTAATGAGTAGAGTTGCTTTCTGCAAGAGTGGCAGACCTGCTCTGTTCTAGAAACAGCACTAGCAGTGGGTCCTACCAGATTATACTGCCAAGAAGAAAAACATTTATTGCCCTGTTTCCCTAGGTTGTTGGAAGATAACTTTGGTGCCTACCAGGGGGAAAATTGCACTCTTTTAGTTCATTTCCCCACCTGAATTTCCCAGAATGAAAATTGCTTTTCTTTGCATCTGTTTTTGCCCTGGCAGAGGGAAGAGATTGTAAGCCTTGAAATAAGGCTGGCTTACATGTGAAAAAAAGGTAGTTCCTAAGCCACAGTGCCTGGCTAGGTGCTCTGTGCATACTGGTCATGGTACCAGCCTGATTTATCCACACTGGACACAGCTTCTTTTGCATCCAAAGCTGGCAAGAGTGACTTTTTGGTTTATTAAATCACCCAGAAACCATGGCTTATTGTAGGGGTCTGGTGTGGTTGGTTAGCCATTGCAACAAGGCAGTCTTGCAAAGTTTAAGCAACATGAGAAGCTGTGGTGCAGGCCTGAACAGCAGGCTGCCACACCTGGGTCCACAGTTCACAGAGGGTTGTAAAGATTATATAAACAAGTGCATAGAGTTGACTCATTCTGCCTGCTCATCTATTTGTCCTTCTGGCAACAAACATGGATAAAACGCAAGGCTTTGGGACAAGGCAACACTTTTCAGAGTCATAGAACATTATGACACAGTGATCCCTAACCTGTGAAAGTTTCTTCCAATTATGCCAGAGGACAGACTCATTCGCATGGGCACTCTAAAGATACCAGTGACATCAAGCAACTCAGCAATATTTGTCTAAAAGGAGTGCCTTGCAAACATATCTATGGAAGTTTCTGATTCCTGTAGAACTTCGGCAGCTCACCTTCTTTCCTGGGTGAAATCCTTAAAGTTAAGGATACTGAAGAAAAAGAAAATAACCATCTCTCTTTCCTACTTGTCCAAGGCAACAAAGCAAATCACAACTTGCAAGCCATCTCTAGTTCTAATCCTTATACCTGTTTCTAATTATTTCTGATTCCCACATGAGTTTTTTGACTAATGTATCTATCTGAAGATAGATACTGTACACTTTTCAAGTGTTAAGTGCAAAATAGTGCATGGTGGGGCAAAAAATCATGCCCACCAAGTATAGGCTAAAGCAGTTTGAACTAGCAGTGACTGATCAAGAAAGCAATCTTGGGATTGTGGTGGACAGCAATAAAAGTGCCAAGTTCACACTTCCCTTATACAAATCTTTGGTGTAACCACATTTAGATTATTGTGTGCAATTCTGGTTACCACACCTGAAGAGGGACATTGTTGAGTTGAATTAGGGCAAAGGAGGGCAACTAAAATGATCAAGGGCTTGGAGCAACTCTCCTGTGAATGGTTACAACAATTGGGATTGTTTGGTTTAGAAAAATGGTGAGAAAGGGGAGACATGATAGAAGTCTTTAAAATACTGCATGGTGGAGAGGGAGACTTTTGGCTGCTAGCCTTTCTGGCTGTTTGCTGCCTCTGTTATCCACATGCCTGCATACATCAATTGCTAAGGAGCATGGGCAGGTGGTATTCTTATCCCCATCCTGCTTGAAGGATCCTGTTGACAGCTGGTTTGCCACCTTGTGAGCAGAGTGCTGGACTAGATGGACTACTGTGGTTTTCTTGTGTTCTTGGAGATCTGTAAGCACATGCAATGAGCAGAGCCCACTGTTTTAAAGATCCTTGAGTGAAGGGTCAGAGGACTGCAGTGTGAGCAAACTTAGTGCTCTGCATCATTCCAAAATGACTGTCCTTTAAAGAAATTAAATGTTGCTTTTGTTCCAGAACTAGAAAAAGAACTCTCCAGGAGGTCAAAGAAGGTCTGCATTGTGAAAGTGGTAGGAACCAGGAACCTGTGGAAAAACATTGTTGTGCTCTGCATAAATTCGTAAGTACCATCATTCTTCTGTCCAGCATATTGTTTAAAGAACTAAAATGATTATTCCTGCTTATGATAGCATCATATCTCTTTTGCTATTTATTATTTTATTTTTTTCTGCCCAGTGAAGTTCTCAGAGCAATGTCCAGTTCATAACAACATGGCTGATTTATAAAATCACAGCAAAATAAAAAGGGAAACAAAGCATTTTTAAAACAAGCCAAAACAATATTATGTCAAAAGCTGGGCAAAACAGTACAGATTTTACTCTCTTATCTAAAGCCTGATACAGATGGCGCCAACCAGACCTGTCTCAGGAGAGTTCCATAGTTGGGATGCTGCTGCAGCCAGTGAGTTGTCCCCACTCCCCATTTCCAGCAACCCTAATAAGCAGACCGAATGAGGAGGTGAATGTACTGGTTGCTGGGCTGAGATTGAAACTATAGGCAGGTGAAGGAGGAGCAGGAAAAGGAAGAAAAAGAGGTCAGTCCAATAAGAAATTTCAGGCAGGAAGAAGAGTTTGGGAAAGCTACACATCTTGGGCGAGGGATGGGAGGAGGAGAGTCATAGGACTCAGGAGGCAGGTGGCAGGAGTGGTAGTGACAGGGAAATGCCAAGTAGGCAGAGGAGGAGATGCAGCGAGTGCAGTGTGGAAGGGAATCGGAACCAAGGGAGGTAGGCATGCTGCTGGCAGGAGAAGGGAAATCACAGGGAAGAGAAGAGGGGAAGGTGAATGAAACACCGGGGTAAAAGAAGACAGGAGAACGAAGGTAAGGGAAGCAGATCCCAAGTGGTGAAGGGAGGAGAAGTGGTGGCCATTATGCAGTCAGTCCATCTCATATTTGCTCTTCCTTTTCTCCTTCTGCCTTCGACTTTCCATAGTGTGATTGTTTTTTCCAGGGAGTTCTGCCTTCTTGTGATATGCCCAATGTATGACAGCCTCTGTTTTTTCATTTATTTAGGGCTTTATATTCAGCATAGGTTTTCACAGATATTGAGAAGATAGAGAATGCTTCACCTTTTAGCATCAGGCAGCAGTGCTTTGTATGAAGTAGAAAAACAGTAGAAAACCTAGTTGCCTTTATCTTCCCAAGTGAACAGGTTTACACCTGAATCAGACACTTAATTCCAGGAACTAAAGATCACATCTGTAACACAAGTCAGAGCGCTCTTCCTTTTTTTCTTCACTGAAATCATACTTCTGAAGGAGTAATAGAACTCTGGGGGTTGGAACTCTGGAACACCAGATTTGGCCCACTGCAGTTCCCCAACCGTAACCAATAAGACCGTGAGGCATCTGCACAGCCCAAGCCCTGCTTATAGGCTGTGAATTTGCAAGTTGCCTGGGGAACCAGTTGATGTCCAGACAGGGCATAAATCTTTAAAAGAAGCAGGCTTGCTTTGGAGTATTTCTTGGAGTCTACATATGTCCTTAGAATTTTCCCTTTGCTCTGCAGGGCATAAAAAGACTGCTTGTTGCTCACCTATGTTATCTCTCTCTCTCTCTCTCTCTCTCTCTCTCTCTCTCTCTCTCTCTCTCTCACACACACACACACACACACACACACACACACACACTTTCCATTGTAGGAGAGTGTGGGGGAGGGGGCCTACTGTGAAGTTAATGTTTTGGTTGCCATCTTTATATCCACCTTTTTGCACTTAAATATCTAAGCATTCTCAGAGAACTATATTCATATGAACCTTTTGACAGAAATATTAACTAATGAATAATCCAGACTTCTTCTAATGTTGTACTACCCAGAGTCAGGGAGCAGACTCTGCTTATTCTGCCACTCCATACAAATACAGGAAATGCATGCGATTTAGTACTGGGCACAGAGTTAGGGTTAGGATTGAATCTGAGCTTGCCTGCTTTTTAAAATGCAAGATTCTGGCTTTAAAATACCTAAGCTATGTCCAGTGAAAGATTGCTGAAGAAGAGGCTCATAAGGATTTCTTGTGTTCAGCAATATGGCTGGAGCGTACCACATAATTCTTTGCCCTTTTCCTGACTTAGCAGGAGTAGAATAAATTATGCAATTTAAGCAACTGTATGTAAAATTCTTTAATTCATATAACATGTACAGGTCATAGAAAGCTTGCATTTTCAGTATAGAATTTTCACAGCTTGAGTTAACATTTAACTTAGTGCCAACTATACATTAAATGCTGTATAACTAGAGTGAATAGAAGGTATATCTCCATATGTTTTGGACATCAACTCCCAGAAACCTCTGCCAACATGGCCAACGAACAGGAAAGCTGGGAGCTGAAGTCCAGAACATAAGGTGATCTGCTTTCTGTCTACCCGTGCTGTTCATAACACAAGAGATAGTAACATCATCCAGCTTTCTCTTCAGGGCTTGCTAGCTGCAGATCAACTGCTACCTCCAGCCCCCTGTTTCTAACTTGAGTCGCTATGCCACGAGTATAAGCAAATATCCTGGTTGGTCCACATTCACGCATAGCCCTTCCTACCTGTGGCAAGCTGCTTAGACTCAAGGACCAAATAAGAACACTTGATCAGCCATCCATTGATTGGTTAGATGATGAGTGGGAAATGAGTGCATATGCACGTCTCATGTGTGCTTGCCCCTACTTCTGAAGTGAAAAATCCAGGGTCCTTTTCTCCCTGGGTTGTTTCATAATGTCTGAATGTGTATTTCACAACCCAAATTTGAACCCATCCCCAAAGGTCTGGGTTCACTCATCACAAAAAGGGACAAAGTGTTCCTGGTTAATTTATCACTGGCAAAACAGCCATGTTTACTCCCTCCCTTGAAGAACTGTGGTATATGCCATTTGTCCATCTTGAATAGGCAATCCAGATACAACCATAGTAGTTGCTGTGGGCTGTGTCAGGTTAGCCAAGAGGGCAGGGTTATTCAAGGGTAAACAACTCTCACAAAACCCCATAGTCAGTTTACATAATCTCTCCAGCTAGGTTCACACAACAAGCCAAGCAATGGCAAACCCTGGCTAGGGGTCACATTATTAACAATGACAGACAGCATGCACCACAGCTTTTCAGAAGGAAATTAACCCATGATGGGCTGCCATATGGGTTGAATGTGCTTTGCGTTGTATATCCCCAGACGTGCTAACAAACCATGGCTTGTTAACTATGAACAACTCACAAAGGAAAGCCATAGGTTGTTACTGAGTTGCGAACAGTGGGATGTTCGTGGTTTGTTAGCACACCCAGGTTTATACAACACAACAACCCATGATTCAACAGCCCACACTCAGTCCATATTCAACCTTGAGTATGGTTTGGGTGTGAGTTACTGTGTTATGTGAATCTGACATCTGGAGGAAGCAAGAAAAATGTTTGTGTGTAATTGATCTCATTTCCATCCATCTTAAGCGTGAAATATTTGGGATCAGATTGAAAGATTTTGTCATTCTAACTGTGGGGTATATCTCACCATATATAAGTGTAATGTCATTAGGGTATATTTCACTGTTCCTCACGTTTTGTCTTCCACAGACTAACTGGGTATGGAATACACCACTGTTTTGCAAAGAGTATGATGGGTCATGAAGATAAGATGTCACTCACCAACAATTTCTATGCGGACTACTATACCATGGCAGGGATTACTCTGGCATCCTGTCTGGCCATGTGCCCAGTTGTTGGTTTTCTTGGGCGGAGAGGCGGACTGCTGCTCTTCATGATCCTCACTGCTTTGGCTTCACTTTTACAACTAGGCCTTCTCAACTGTGAGTGCAGATGTCAAGTCACTGTATACCTTAACTTTAAACCAGTTCCAAGGGCCACTGTGTTTCAGACAAGCACGTGCTCTCAGACCTACGGCTGTTCTCAGCTATAGGTGGGAAAATGCGCTCATAGGGAAACATTCAGAATTAGCAGGTGGACCTGAAACAAACAGAGGGAGAATGTACACAATAATTTAGATAGATGCCCTTTGTTCTTCCCTTTCTAAGGCATTTGCTTCCTCACCTCCCCAACCTGATGCCATCCAGTTAAGTTGGACTACAAATACCTAGCATGCTAGAGTTGGTGCTAGTTTTGGTCCAACACATCTGGGGATACCATCATAAGAGAGACTGGTCTGTACAATGTAGACTCCTTGTCCACTTTGGTGTGGCTGTTTGTTCCTCTCTCCTCTTTGACATCCACATAAAGCATGGAGAGACTCATCATCAGTCCTTGAACTCTCACTGCAAATACAGTGTTGCTAAGAAAACTATCCATGCAGTTAAAAGGAATCATAAAGTAACTAGAACTGGATTTTATACTAGGGAGGTAGAAGATCCCAGTACTCTGGAGTGTTGATAAGATATAGTCTGGACCTCATTATTGCAAAATAAATGTTTCTCCTTTTAGTTTGCCTATTTTCTCTACTTGCTTCCTATGGATTTCCAGATCTGACCAGGCATTCTAAGGAAAATAGAAAATTTCACTCCAAACCACCTTGCCGTGTGTCAGTATTGATTAATTTCAATGCAGGTTTTTTTTTCTTCGAACTTATTTCCCTTTCCTTCAAGGCCATCATTCTCTGTGTTTGAACTGTTCAACTTTCAAAGAGCCAGTGTGGTGTAGTGGTTAAGAGCATGGGACTGGGACTCAGGCGATCCGGGTTCGAGTCCCTGTTCAGCCATGGAGCCAACTGGGTGACTTTGGGCCAGTCACAGACTCTCAGCCCAACCTACCTCACAGGGTGGTTGTTGTGGGGATAAGATGGAGGAGGAGAATGATGTAAGCTGCCTTGAGCCCTTTGTAGGAAAAAGGCAGGATATATAAAAAAACACACAAAATGTCATGTGAATTTCTGAAAGATTTGTGTTTGTGTACTCCGTATTGAGACTGTAGATTCCATATGGGAATGAATCCTCATGTGTTAAAGCAACCTTTCCCGAACTGGCGCTCTTCAGAGGTTTTGGACTATGACTCAGCATTTCTGAGCATTGGCTATGTTGGCTAGGAATGATGGGAATTGTCGAGGGCACCAAGATTGCACAGAAAAAAGGGTTTCAATCCATGGTATCTCCTTCTACCTCAGCAAGGAAAATTCTACTGGGCATCAAAGATTCTACCACTTTTGGTAGAAGTAGCACCAAGCTGCTGTAAGGGAAGGACTTCCTTGCTAATTCAGTTTAGGCTCACAAGGATCACAAGCAGCATCTCAGCCAGAGAAAAAGAAACCACAACAAGAACAAACACTAGCAGGTTACCCTAAGCCAGTCTTGATTCGATTCTGCTGTCTATTTTTGGTCCAGTGCAATTTTCCTTTTTAAAGGTTAATTCATGGTTGGTCATGGCAACTCTCTCAGTCCCTTAATGACCATGCAGGAGAACTCTCAACAATAGCTGGGGGTGTCACAAGACTTCCAGAATGGGAACATGCCTCATGGATGCATAGCCTACCAGGAGTTTTCTGTGGTGTATGCCTCTGTCCGATGCATTTTTAAATGTTTTACATTTTTAGCTTGCACAGTATAGAAGCAGATCTACTCCTCTATAAAGCAGACCTCAAAACTTTCTTTCTGCTTATATTTATACTTTTGAATATACATAAAGAGTTGTCTGCGAATATAACCATATGTAAAGTAGACCCATTGAAATCAGTGTGGTGTAACTTATGCATCATTAACTTAAATGTCATTGATTTCAATTGGTACATTCCTCTCATGGTCAAATCTGGGTGTAGTCCAAGAAATATATTGAAATGACAAGGATGTATGAATGGAAGGACAGACAGACAGACACAGAAATAAGAGTTCCACTTCCTGGTAATCACAACGTTCTGGGTCCTGTGACTCAGGTCTTTAAGTGGAAACTTTTGGTATTCTCTGGACCAAAACTGTCCATTGTTCCTGAGTACTGAATCTGGGTAAGAATAAGTGCCTGTTACTGAACATTTTATCTAGATAGATCTGCACCTGTCTATAGCCACAAAGTGCTTGTGAATAATTGTATGATCTGTTTACACAGTTTGGAGCCTTGTCAAAGACAATTCAGCTGAGTGATGCAGTAGTAAAAAAGAAAATGTCTCCTGGGTTTTGCTTTCTAACAATCCCCTCCTGAGTATTAGAACTAATTGTGACTCTTAAAAAATTTTCTATTCATTATCAACATAAAGGCCTTTGTTTAGTCTCTGCCCTAATTCTAGACCTAGAATGCTTTACCCATGTGCAATTAATTGTTATCATCTCATTAGAATTCTATCCTTCCATTGTGAATCAGACAGAAATGCACTTCCTGCCAGGCTGTTTGGGAAGAGAAAGCATTTCCTCCTTCTGTCATAGCATGGAAGGAGAAATGTGTTGGGTGGGTAAAGGGACTATTTTATCCTGCAAGGCAGTCTCCCCCAGTCTGTGGATTACAACTCCTATCATTGGCAAGTTGGTTGGAGATGATGGGAGTTGTAGTCCAGTACATCTGGAGAGGGCCGGGGTTGGGGAAGGCTGGTATAATTTCATGTTAACTTTTTAAATAGCTTTCATGTGTTTGTTGCCTTTTTTCTCTTTGTATGTTCTTATTTTGTTCATTTTTTTCCTCAAACTGCATCCAGTGATAGGAAAATACAGTCAACTTCCAGACTCAGGTACGGTTTTCAGTGTGATTGCTCATTTAGAATGAATCATGTTGTTATATTGCCTCCCTCCTGCTACCTTGGTGCTTGAAGCCAGATCACGTACAGGCCTCAAGCTTCCTTCTCCCCTCTTTATTCCATTTCCAAGTGAACAACCCACATAGCAATTGTCAATTGAATATTTATAATTCCATATGCCATTCAAAACTATTTTCATATGCTTTATGAACTGAAAGCTGCATTTAAGTGCTCCTGAAGTCTGGTGGATCAGTTCTGATCTAAACATTGCTCTAGGAGGTGTGGGGAGTGATTGGAGCTGAGGGAAAAAACATATGTTATGCATGTTGAAAGTCCCAGGTACGATTCCAGGCATCTCCAGGTAGGGCTGAAAAAGCTACCAGCAATCCTGAAGAACTGCCTCTGGTTAGTGTGGGCAATACTGGGCTCGATGGGCCCATTGTCTGGATCCGTATAACACAGTTTCCTTTATTCCTGCATGTATCCAGTCACTTTGCGTTGGAATCACAAATGTAAAATTCAGCAATGTTTTTGTCTAAATGTCAAGTCATAATATCCTGACTTTCTCTTCACTAGGGCCTGAAAGCTGTCTATCCTTGGCTTCAGCAAGGCTTTTCACATTATTTTAAGGCCACTAGCTGTATACCATCACAATGCAGCCTTAGTGGCTTTTGCCACTGAGGTTCTCATTGAGGGCTAGTGCCAGAGATCGAAGGACTTTGCTTCTGCTGCCACAGTATCTCCTAAGGACAGCATGTTATTTTTTCATAGGAATAACACTTACAAGGAGATGCACACAGGAACACGGACAGCATAACCTACACCCTTCCCTCTAGTAATTCCCACCATTAAGAATCCAGCTGCTGTTTGCATAGCCCAACCCTTTCATTGCTCAGCCCTTTGTGACAGAGTACCTGAAACTAACATAGTTACATTTAATGTTGCCTTCACCCACAGGCATGTGAGAAAATACCTACCCCTTAGGAATTAGCCTGGTCTGCACATATCAACAACCCAGAGTATGTATTGAATATGGGCTACATTGAATTATGGGTGGGTGTTATGTATGCAAACTGTGCACTGTGGTTTGACTATGGGTTGCTAACCATGAACAATCCAGGAAGGTTTGTTGCTGGATTGTGAATGCAGGCTTGTTTGCAGTTAAGAACCCACAGTTAAGCTTACATGACAACCCATGATTCAACAACAGCATGTACTCAACATGTGCTCTAGGTTGCCCTACATGTGATTATGTCTTTTAAACCCTTTAAAAGGGCATGGCATACTGTGAAATATCAGTGGACTGATTAGCATTTTTTTCATGTGTCTAACAGGTATGAGTGAAACTGTAAAGGACAAGTTCTCCACTGCATTTTCCATCGTGGGTATGTTTTCATCACACGCAGTTGGAAGTCTCAGTGTTTTCTTCTGTGCAGAAATCACACCAACAGTAATAAGGTATGACAGACAGCTCACCCCGTGGAGAAGAGACTCTGTAGCCTCTTACTTCAACTGGTACCTTAGAACGCTAGTCAGCAAGTATGTCTTGGAATGGCCACTTTGGGCCAGACTTGCTAATAAGTTAAATGCATCATTGGCAGCCCTGGTGGTCTCCACCCTGTGGGGAGATAGCAGCTTTGTTGGACAGAGGCAGTTTTTATCAGGACTGTGATGTGGAGATTGGGGTTTGGGGGGTGGGGACGGGCTGTGGCCCTTGGCTTAAAAACAGACAAGACACATTACTGCAATCATACCTTTATGGGGGAATCCTATTTATGCTTAGGCTAGGGAAAGCTGGGAATTGTAGCTTTCTGCTCAAACTTGGAAAGGATTGTGCCCATATTGCATCACTTACTGTGGCGTTGTAGGGGTGGTGGGCATCTCAGAGGAAGTTCCACTGGCGTACTCCATATGTATCCCTCAGCACACATGAGTTCCATATCTACGGTGTGTACATGGGCTGTGCTTCCATTTCCAGCACCTTGCATGGTTGCCATAGGCCTATTCAGGTTATCCCCATTTTATACTCTCGACTGCAGCATCCTATATCCAGACATTGACAGAGTGTTGCTGTTTTGTCCTTTACTAGCAAATATACACACAGTTAGCCATTTGTGTTTGTGCAGTACTTTTTATCAGTAAAGTGGATAAGAGAGAAACAAGCAACCCTATAGCTGGAAATATAAGTACATTATTGCCTTTATTTTAAAATTTTCCGTCACCTTTCATCTCCAAAGGTTATCATCATCATCATCATTACTATTAATTTCATTTTTATGCCACCAAATAGCCAAGGCTGTCCAGGCAGTTTAACAAAAGTTAAAACACATACACTCTCTCTCATGCACACAGACCAGCTTAAAACAAACAGGTGATCTCAGGGTGGTATGGACAAAAAATATAAAAATGATAAAAGGGACTTAAAAAGAATCAAACCAGCAAACAAAAAATCAGTTTTGATTGAATCACATTGTACTCCTTCAAAATTTCAAGATTCACTTTGAGATACTTGGGAAAACAACCATTTTAACTTGGCAAAGCTGCATTTTAACCACCGAACAAAAATAAGCAATGTTGCTGCCAGTCATTTCTCCTTTAGGAGTGCATTCCAAAGGGTTTAGAATGATTTAGGGGAATGAACCCAACTGGATTTTTAGAGTGTCATAACTTGAGGTGAAATTACTTGAAATCTTAGAAGCACTCAGTCTTTTAAAACAAAGCAACAGCAAAGAGGGAGAGTTGAGAAAAGTTCATAGCATCCATTAGAGTAGCCTTTTTCAACCAGTTGCCCTGCAGCTAGTTTGAACTATAAGTTCCATCTTCCATGGGGATGAAGGAAGTTGTAATCAAACCCTCCTGCTATGTGGGCTATGCTAACTCATACTCTCTTTATTGCAAGCGAAAGGCTGACTATAAAAAGCTCCAAATCCAGGCAGCACTTTCATTCCCAACATGTGAATCTGAAAACTACAGAGTGAACGTACTTTGAGACTGTTGGGATGTTTAGTATGCTGATCCTTAAGCTTTGTTCACTTCCACCAGCCCCATGCCGCCAAGCACTTAGGCAATATTGAAAAATTCTTAATTCCTTGCACCAAGGAGTTCATTATGGATCCGCTTCCAAACAATTAACAAATGAACCTCCTAATCCAACTGCAATAAACTTGTTGATGGTACAGCTGTGTGTGAGAGTGTGGGTGCCATTACAAAACAGGACAAGAGTATTTTGTAAAACAAGTTAATGTCAGGAGAAGGTGAGGTTGCATTCCTGACTAGGTAATAAGTTGCTGCCATTCATTTCTCACTATTTGAGGTGACTCTCACCCCCTTATATGTGAATCTGCAGGAAATAGCAGAAATGAACAAAAGATAACTTCTTTGTGCTTGAGAAAGTTGTGCCATAGTCCATTATCCAGGGTAACCAAAACCCTTTCAGCCTCTGATTTGTGCAAGGAAAGGAACTGGAAAAGAGGGTGGAAGCTGACAGAGCATTGCTCTGAACTTCAGCTTCCAGAATTCCTCGGCCAGTGCTGCTCTACTGAGGAATTATGGGAGTAGAGAGGGCCTGGTTTCTCAAGCACCAGTGCTGGAATCCAGGCATGGCCAGAGTATAGGTACACACTGTGATGTTGGACACCACTGTGGAATGCTGGGATTGGCATCTGCTAGGGGTAACCTCTACAAGAAACCTCCACATAGAGACGTTTGTGCTGCACTCCTTGACCACCTAGTCGCTCTGTATAATTGCCTGCATTCCAAGAGGATTTTAGCTCTCGACATCTTGAATAAACAAGCCCTGAGATGTCCCTAATGCTTGTTGTTTCTAACATATGAAGACGTTTGCAGTTATCCCTTTCACACTTCCAAGAGTCATACACCTGCTTGTGTCCATGACCAGGGCTGCAAACAGGACATGGTCACATGATTTGTAGATGGAAACAAAATTCTTGTATGTCTTTATTCTGTGCTGTCCCCTAAAGAAATCTAAGGAAAACCTGCTCCCTAGTGGTAACTCAGAGAAATTCAGAAGTTAAAGGTTTCGAAGGGCACAATCTTATGCATGCTTAGTTAGGGTTAGGAAATAATGGCTCAGAGCTCTGCTTGGCTAGGGCATGCTAGAAGTTGCAGGAGTTTTTTCCTGCCTGAACTTGCATATGATTATGCCTTATGCTATAGAGAGAAAGGAAAGACTAATGAAGGAGACAGGTAGGCTGTTACATTTTTAGAGGTAACAGTTACTTCTGCTTGTTACAGTCTATTCTATCAAGCATTTCTCCCTTTCCAATCACTGATGCTATTGCTCGGTTGCAGTCCATGAATGAGTGCAAATTTAAAGCAGACAGTATAGCTGCAACACTTTTGGTCGGGAGACTTCCTTGATTTTGCTGATTTTCCAAGATTGGATTGTATGAGGTGATTTTCTGCATCTAAGACTTTTTTTCAAGTGTTATGTTTAAAGCTTGTGAATTAACAGTGTCCTCCATTTTTGTATTTAATTTGGGTATAGGATATTAAGTGACTAAATCTTTGTGAGTGATTGGATTCAGACAAAATTATTACCCTCACAAGGCTTCGGTGTAGGTTGCTGTTGAACTGTGAATTGTTGTTGAAATATGGGTTACTGTGTTATCTAAATTTTGAGCACCCCACTGGGTTGTGAGCTGTGGATTCAGACACTACATTAACCAACATATCAGCAACAAGTCACAGTTGAGCAACAACCCATATTCAACCCTTGTTGTCTGAACCCATATTAGTTTCAACCAAAAGGTTGAAAGTTTAGAGGTCAAAACTTATTAGAATGTTGAGAAGCTCAGAAAAAGCAGGATAGTGGGGAGTTTGAAATTCTTCAAATAGAAGGTTATGTTGGAGAAATTAACAAGAAACACTTATCCTGATTGGTCAAAGTTGGTAAGGAAAGAAATGATAGTTTTAAGCAATAAAAGCTGAGGCAGAAAAGAGGGAGGGAGGTAGAAAAGGAAGTCTGAGCTGGAGAGTTGATTGAGAGAAGTAAAGAAATGATAGTAAGATAGTACTTGGATAAGGGACCCAAATAAAGCAGTCTTGTTTGATTAGACAGATGGTATTTATCCATGGTTGTGTTTTTTCTCTCTTGCTCATATCATACATGATATGTATATATTTAAAGTGTTTTCCTATTAGTGTTTTTCTCCAGTAAAATGTATGCATTGTTATTTACAATGTTGTAGTCTGTTGGGGGGGTGTTACCCACTCCACATCTAATGGCCAACCCTCACATGACCTAAAGCAGATAGTTTCAAGACTGTTTAATGAGGACAGCAAGAGAAAAAAGATTTCCCCAGAATGGCCACAGAAAACAAAAAAGAAATGTGCGCTTACTGTTTTACTCATAGAACAGGTCCATGGGAATGTGGCAGATTAAAAATCTGAGTGAGAGATTTGACACTGTGAGATCTTACAGACCTAAAATCTACTCTTTCTGAAAACTCTTTTTCTTACAAGTACAAATAGCTTGAAGCAAAACTTTTGAACTCAACCCTCATTTTCATTCCTGGGCATCATTTACTAGCCAATCTCTTGCTTTTATTGTCCTCTTGTCCTTGTGCCACCAACTGGTTTTTGTATTCCATCTGGTGTATGAACTGGTGAATTAGTCTGGGCTGTTGTTAAGGGTGCACTTTGTTTCCACAGGGGTGGTGGGCTTGGCCTGGTCCAAGCTAGCGCAGGCTTTGGTATGCTGACTGCACCTATCATGGAGCTGCACAACCAGAAAGGCTACTTCCTCCACCATGTGATCTTTGCCTGTTGCACACTCATTTGCATCATCTGCATTCTCCTCTTGCCAGAGAGCAAAAACCAGCACCTTCCAGAGAACATTCCAGATGGCGAACATTATACCAGGCAGCCCCTCCTGCCACACAAGAAGGGGGAGCAGCCCCTGCTGCTCACGAACTCTGAACTCAAGGACTACTCTGGCCTCCATGATTCAGCAGCAGCCGTGAATGACGGGGTAACCGAGAGTGTCACTGCCAATGGGATGAAAGCGATGTAGTTGGCTGGAGGAGGAGGCGCACTTAGGCATGGGAGTGCTTTCCACAAGGTTTACAGAACAGTGAAAGAAGGGATGGATACACAGGGGAATTGGACTCTGCTGCTAAACCCACTTCTTGTAGGATTCTTTGATCAGGGTGTGCAAATTGATTTGGAAACAGTTATAGGGGGTGGGTGAAGGGAATGCATCTTCAAAGCAAACTGGTTGGAGACTAACCGCCCATCAGAACATTTCTTTCCTGCCTACCATGAAATGTTTCTATTTATTTTGATTTTTGTTTGTTTGTTTCCATGAAGCACTTTATTCCTTTTTCTTTATGTTGATCACAAACATGAAGCCATGTTGTTTTCAAAAAGAATAGCCATTCCAAGACAGTAATCATGGAGTTCATTTTTGTGTGTGTTTTTGAAATCATTTCTTGCCTTTTTTTTTTTTTTTTTGGTTGGAGAAATGCAGTATCTCTTGCTGAACAATGAATTTCATTGACTACTGACATTTTAGGTTCAACCAATTTTCTTGGTCTTTCCAGGTAATCTGATCCTCCCTTTCCTCCACCCCCTTACTGTATTAAGTGTGCATTCAAAGCTCTGACTTGAAATTCCAGCCGCATTCTAGGTAGCAGAAATAGAGTTCAGCTAATGAGCCCCAGTGTATTTTATAAAGGTTGTTTTCTACATTTTAGAAGTAGAGGAATTCACCTATTACTTGCAGTTCAAAGCTGAAAACAAACCACTGCGCAAGGAAGCTAGCTACATTTTTTTCCAATGGAGATGAGGAGTATGGATTTAAATGAAAAATGTGTCTCTTTATAGAAAGTTCTTGCAAGTGTTTATTAATAATAACAAGAAGCAATTTTAACAGGCATTTCTTGGTAAACTCAAGGCTTTACCAAGAGAGGTTTTAAAGTAATGGGGCCTTGAAACTATGAGGTAGCATTTTTTTAGGAGAGCAACTCTGTGTTGTGTGGGGGTGGGGGGAATAGTGGCCAGAAAGTTTTAGGAGTCTAAAATTCTTATTCAAAAATCAGCTAGGCTGGAATTCTGGCCATCATAACGTCAGTTCAACTGTTTACCTTCATTGTCCCCAAGACTGATGGATGCTAACAGAAGAATATAAGTGATAAGTTGCAAATAAACTGACACAATAGGTTAAAATGTAAGATTAGGGTAAGGGGGGAATACGGAATAAGCTCTTTGGATGTTTTAAGTAGAGGCCAGAGTGGTCTGGTTAAGAGGTGTGTAACAGTTTTTCAAGGATAAGGTTGCATATTATCAACCAATTGCCATCTCCAGCATGAAAATCTATAGGGAATAGCCACCGTTAAGTGCACCAGAAAAAAAAAATCCCAAGTGCTCTTTTAGGATGTCTTATCCTGCCCCCTATAGTAAAATAAATAAGCCAGTCCCACAGGGTCACTTGACTGAAAATAGATGCTTAACACCCTGATCCTACATGCATTTGGAAAAAAGTTCCACTAACGTGGCGTAGAACTTGCTTCTGCTTGAGATGCATCTAGGTACAGGGTGTTAATAAAGGCAAGAACCCCCTTCCCCCTTCCCCCAAAGAGCTGGCACTCATTTAATTTGCACTGGCCATTTTAACATTTGGCTATCAAGCTGCGGTTCTTACACGAGAGCCATTTAGAGCCACCTTTGGACTAGGAAGTTCTGAACTCCTGGTGACTCTTCTACATAGAAGTAACAGCCCTGCTCCCTCCCCTTCCACTCAGACCATGCATTTGTGATTTGATTGCCTGTGGTCCAGCCCACCATTCCAGTGAATGCAGCAGCCAGATGTGTGGTGATGTGTAGAGCCATCCATTTGACTGTCACTTTGATGTCCATCCTGCATTCGTGGGTAAAGGGAAGGGCGTGTTGTGGTGCTTCCTTCTCTGCCATTTCCCTTCTTTGCTCTATATATTGTCTGTTGACTTATCTGTGTTTCTTCCTCCTCCTCCCTCTGCCAGGCTGCTTTTTGCAATCCTGCGAGGAGCTGCCCCAAGCCATCCCGGCGGCTTCTCCTGGGGCAAGCAGTGCAGCTTCTCAGGGCTGGCTAGCTAACTCTCAGAGGGCAAAATCGGCCTGCAGAAGAGATGGGAGGCTATGTACTTGAGAAGAAAAATGTTTGTCGTAAAGCTGCTAACTTTTATACAGAGGATGAGATGCTTGGGGAAATCTTTCTCAAGCCCTGTTAAAAAAAACAAAACACTGGATTGTTCAATGGTCAGCTGTTGTTTTTCCCCCTGAAGTGCCACTGCTGTGTTCACCTCAGTGGGACTTGCTGAAAAAGTGCGAGTCCAATCTTTCTTACACTCTCTCAGTCAACTGTCTGGTGCTAGTAACCAAAATGGCCACCTCCCCTCCATTCTTCTATAACATCCAGACAGTTGCAGCCTTCCATTTGCATTGAAAAGTACAGCCTTTCTGAATTGTGCAGTATTCATGTGCCAAATTTGTGTGATGCCTTTTGCCTTTTATATAATGCTTGTTACAAGCTACATAATCAGGAACAGTGGGTTTCTAGTAAAATCTATGAAGGATAAATCTGAATTGTTTTTAAAGGAGTGGGGCCTTGAAAAGCATTTGAAGAAGAGAATTGGTTATCGACACGTGAAGGCTCCGAGTGAACACACAGCACTTTTTTTGCAATCCGTGTGGTACGGAAGAGTTTTTAATTCCCCACCTCTGTGCATATATTCTTAGAATAGAGTAAAAATCATGTTTGATCACTTGTCAGCCAATAGACTTTATTGCATTTTAGTACTGTTAAAGACCTTGTTGTGCTCATTTCTGTCACTTGCCATGCTTTCTAGTTTCCTGTTCCAATGTGATGCTCCTTACCTTTACAAACAAGCAAAGCAAAACTTTTCTTTGTCATCATATTTAAAGAATCATGTAAGGTGATGGGAGCACTTGGTGATATAAAAACCCAACAAACCATTTTTATACAATTAATTGTGATTTTTCTCCCTTTTTATTTTGTTTTGAAATCTGATTGTATAAGTACTTTATAGTTAGTTCCCAAATTATTTTACAGGTTGCTGAAGCCAACAGCATAATTTTCCATCATACTTCTGTGTCAAAGAGGGTTTTTAAAAAAATACTTAAGTATCTTTCAAATTGCTTATGCTACGTACCTGACTAAAGTCAGGTCTGATGAAGAAACAGTGGAAATGTTAAATTATACCCAGAGCACATCAGTAGGCTTGTTGCCTGCCTTACTCTAGAGTAAGTGCAGGGGCAGTGATCTGGATCAGGACCCTAGCTTGTGGGGGTAGAGGAGCCTTTAATTCTTGTACTTGCTTGGAATTGGCAACCTGTGTCTGAAACTGATGTTACGAGATATGGATCCATTGGCTTGAATGGATTATTATCTGATAATAAGTCCTGCAGGGATCTGATTATCGAATTTAACTCTGATCCAGATGCCTGCACTTACTCTAAACTGAAAAAAGCAAGTAGCTGTGTTTTTAAAGTAACGTGCTTCAGCCCTTATCTACTCAACTAGGACATGCTACTGAATATGGTATATTCCAGTACCATACAATTTGCAGAGGCCACTCAGCTCCAGTGCCTGCCTGGGTGCTTCTAAATGGAGCACTCCTAGTGCACTTGGCTGCTCTTCCACCATTCTCTCCATACTGAATTTTTAATATTTTGGGGAAAAACGTGTCTTTGGGTGGCAAGAAAAAAAAACACTGGTAGAAAAACATGGAAGAATTACAAATGGAAGACAGTGATGTCCAGACCCCTATAAATTCCCTCTTTGAGTCAAGGCAATAGCAAAATAAAAGCCTTGCCTGGAAGCACCCCTGTTGTCAGGAGTCCATCTAGGCAGGAAAAACAAGGTATCTTGAATCCCCAGTGAACTCCCCAGCATAGCTCTCTGCTGTGCTAAGGGGACTGTGTCCCGGCTGTTGCAGGCTTGTTGTAGCATCAAGACTGGCACATGAACAAGAAGACTTTTTCAGTGACCCCCGGCTCTAAACAACTCATTCAGGTTTCTGTCATGTTATCAAAGACTGGCCTGTCGGATGCTGAGACCTGTGCCCTGCATGGTACTTCACAGCCTAACAGCCATTTGGTTGCTCTCTGTTTTTCCACTTCTAGGGCAGTCGGCAGCTGCCTCAGTATACAACTGGGCTGCACACAGAGACTTGATTGTACTGCACCTCATGGGTTTAAGCTCAGGCTTCCCAGCAGCACAGCAACAAGACTGGGGTATGAGGACAGGTATCTGTTTTTCCCATGTGTTGCAGGTATGACAGAGGATGTGTTTGCTGTTCATCCAGGCTGTGTCTCTGAGGAACCATGTTTGCAGTGTTTTTGCGGTCCTTCAAAGAGCTTCAATGTCTGTTTGAGCAGAGGTGAAAAGAAACACGTGCTAGTAATCCTCTGTCATACATACCACATTCAGTTCTGCTGTCTGCCCCAGCCGGTACTCCTCAACTCCTTTTCCTTTAACAAAATGGGGCTGTTCAAAAGAACAATGCATGCCTGCTGAGAAAAGCAGCAGAAATGCACCCAGTGGTCTCTCCACTCAAAGGGGGCTGTTACATCTACATACGGAGGCCACGCTGACTGTACTGCTCATGGCTTGCTCTGTCTGCGCCTACATTAAGTGAACATGCTCGAGGAATTGTTTGGATAGCCCATTAAAAAGTAACCCTTTGGCACTGACCAAATAATCAGTGCCATTTTTCTTAATCAGGAACAAGTAATCCTAAAATGCTGTAGAAAGTGGGGGGGGGGGCAACCTTCAATGAAGGGAGCAGCATAGCAACAGGTGCTCAGACCAGCTCCTGGTGGTCTACCACAAGCCATCTTAGACATGTGTCACTGCTAATTCGGCCAGTAGCTGTGCAATTAATTACAAGGCCAGTAGCACAGAGTGGCTGAAGCCTGGCTGCTGGAGATTGGTCAGGTCTGTGCTCACTGCTAGAATTTTAGGGGGGGCGCACAACATTTGCCAGGTTTTGCAGAAACTTAGAGAGTGCAGCCCCAGAACCCTGCTGTCTAGTCATTCCGATTAAGGAAGCAGTGGTGGTTGCCAAGCCTGAAGAGAGAGGAAAGTATAAAACCCACCAAATGTAAAAAGTTCATCCTAACACAGAAAACACTGGTAAATATACTGTCCACTTAAATTATTAGTTTCCCTGTTACCTATGAGCAAAGATCAACCAGTTGGTTGGCCAGTGGTTTTGTTTTGTTCTGCTTAATTTTTGAAAATGTTCTTGAAAGCATGACAGTTAAAATCGGGTTTGAACTTAACAATTAAAAAAAGGAAAATGGGAAGTAATTCATTTATGTTGCCAATTCCTAAACCCAAACAGAAGGGGGGAAATCACCAAACTCAGAAGTGCCGTTAAAATGAACTCTGAATGTCATATGAAGATATATCTGTATCTGGGACAGAAAGGCAACAATTAAAGGTACAGTCTTTTGTATGTTGAAATGAAAAGGGCTTGCAACTCCCGCAGGCCTTTTTTTCATTTCAGCATGCATAGAATTGTGCCCTAAAAGTGTGGCAGATTTTTCAGGTTTTTTTGTTTAAATTAACAAAACCTCATTTTTAAATGTATTGTGTGAAAACCTTTTCGGGAACGGAGTAACGTGCTATGTCTGTAGTGGGTGAGATATCCCTCCCCCTTTCCCCAGTTTCTGATGAAGTTTTTCTTAACTAATCGTTGTTACTGTATGGTTTTTTGATCATGAGTAGTTTGGTGCTTCCTCATAGCACAAGCTTAAAAATCAACTACTGAAGAACAGTCTTAAAAGCTAAATGTCTGCATGATGTTACATCCGTTGTACTTACTGAACAACTTTGTATGTAAATGTACAGGAATAAAGACATTGCCCCATTAAGAATCCCATACTTTGTCCGTTTTTCATGCTGGTGATACACCTTTCCTCCTGTCTGGCTCAGCTTCAAATGCTCAAGGCCAGTGGCCACCCAAAATACAGCATTGGTTAAAATCTAAGGTAATGTCCTCCCCACACTATCTTCCACTTTTGGAGCAAAACTCCCTGTACAGCCAGTCATTGGCCATGCTAAGATGAGCTGATGGGAAATGAGGCCCAAAACATCTGGAGGGTCCCAGGCTAAGAAAGCTTCACTGAATAGTGACTGGGCCAAAATTACTGAGCACACTTCATTGCAAAGTATGAATCTGAAGCAGGTTTAAGGCAGTAACTGAGGTCTGGAGTATGTCAATGGAGACTTTACAGTATCTAACCCATGTATGTACTTTATAGGACTTTAATTCATCTCTGAAGGCTCTTCTCTGGCCCACAACCAAATGAAGTCGGGTAGCTATAAGCAAGAGGGCCACCTGAGTTGTGGCATCCCATTTTATAGAACAGGGTTCCCAAGGAGGCTTACCTGGCACCCACACCATTGCCCTTTTGGAATCCGGCAAAGGTATCTTTCTTCAAAGCAATGTAGATTTGTATTGTATTTATTCATTTGTGATTAAATACATTTTATACTGCCCAATAACCTGAAGGTTCTCTTTTTATTCTGTGAGGTCCCCTAAGTACATTTTCTTATAGGGCAACATATAAATATCAAAAATAAAATGGACAGTATTTCCTGATAATAAGCCCCACTTATGAAAAGATATGTATAGAATGGAGCTATAAGTCCAGCATTCTACCCACTATGGCACACATTAGCAATCAACCTTTTCATCTGTTATGCCCAGGTGTACTTTTCCCTTCCCTGCAGAATTCAGCTTAAAGCCCTCCTGATAAACTTCATGCTGTGGCCAAACACATTCTTTTCAGCACTTGTAAAGAGCAAGCCATTTTTCCCTCACTAGAACTCAAGACAGCTTACTTAATTATCTGCCTCTGGTCAATCTTATCCTCACAACAACCCTGTGAGGTGGTTGGGCTGAGTATCTGACCAGCCCAAAGTCAGCCAGTGAGCTCCATGGCCAAATGGGGACTAGAACCCAGATCTCCTAGAGTCCAGTCCTACACTCTTAATCACCACACCACACTGGCTCTAACTGTTCTAACACTTAACTGCTCAGTTCTCTTTATCTGATTAGGCTTTTAGATGTTCGAATGATGGCTGTGAGGAGGAAGAGTAGCAATAAATGGAGTTTTTCATAGAGAGAATGGAAGTGGAAAACAAAGATAGGCCAGGAAGATTAACCTTTAAGCAGGGCTTAAGAAAAAAGTGTCCCAATCACTATGTTTCAGTATAGCAGGATGTCGCCATACTGCTACAGCAGGGGTGGGTAACATGTGGCCCTCCAAATGATACTGGACTGCAATCCCAGCATGCCTCACTACTGGCCATGTTGGCTTGGACTAATGGGAGCTGTAGTTTGACAACACTTGGAGGGCCACAAGTTGTCCATCCCTGGGTTACAGAACTGTAGTATGTCAAAGAATGACTGTACTTCCAAGTCCTGGCAGTTTTACATATATTTAGTTGTAGGTCCCATCTGTTCAATTTCCGTTATCAATCTGCATTTTTTAAAAAGCATGAATATTCACACTGGTCTTCATAAGTCATTTTGTAAACAACTTTCCTGAAAAATGCATATTTGCATTTTTTGCATCAGAACATTCAGAAGAAAAAATATTTTATTCATTGCAGAACTAAGGTCAATTTAAGGGCAGGAGCAATCCCCACTTGCAAAAATTACAGTTCTGTGAAAACGGATCTGAATACATCCATAGAAGAAACACCAAAAGGAAAAATACAAAGGCTACCATGTCTTAGTGCCATACCTATTTTAGTTCTTTGAACCCTTTCCCCCTACTCCAAAGAGTTCCTAGCACAGCTTACAGCAAATCAAAACCAAGCAGCAAACAAAACAGCACATGTGCTATGTCCATCCATTTCAGTGGAAGTTATTGACATCTGTTTAGTTTGGCATCACAACTAACACTGTTCTGCCCTCTGTCCAATTACTACTGAATTCACTTATATAAAGCAGCCTTTCCCAACCTGGATCCTTCCAGAGGTTTTTGAGTACAACTCCCAGCCAGCATGGACAATGATTAGAGCTGATGGGTGTTGTGGACCAAAAACACTGGAGGGACTTGGCTTGTAAAAAGCTACTTCAGGTAGGAAATGGAACATGCTGAAGCATCTGTCTTGGGTTTATTATTGTTCAGGTTGTTTTAACATGTCTGTAGAAGTAATTGCTATTATTCTTAGGACAAGTAGCCCAGAGGCAAGCAGCTTGCAGCCCTCCTGCGTGACTGGCTAACTTCTCCCACCAATGCAAGCCAGCACAGTCAGGAGGATGGGAGTTGTGGCCTTCCAGACATCTGGGCTTACATCCATGGACTAGGAGGATATCCACCCCCTTCCCAATACCCTTTCTTTTTAAATACAGGAATGCTGAAACTGTATGTTAAAGGAAAGGAGAAACAGTAAGCAAACACTAATTGTCATACTAGATTCTAACACTACTTTCTCCTTTTATTAATGTGATTCTAGATACCTTTCTCTTCCCCATGGGAGTGATACCGAGTTGTCTCAGGAAATAAGATGCACAGAAACTTTCCCCAAACACCTGGTTTTCAACCTGCAGATTTATTTTGCAGAGAACTAAATCAGCTGCAGTGGTCCATCCACGAAGCAGGTTTACCTTATCATCTGGATGTGGGTGATCCAGGCCAGAGCAAGTAGTATACAAGAACAAAAATATCTGCAATTCTGTGCATAGTACCAATCATATCCAGTAGATGGCAATCTTAGCCCACCATTTTGCCACCTCCTAATACTCCAGTTGCAATGTGTGGCTGTGAAAGCTGGACCATAAGGAAGGCTGAGCGCCAAAGGATTGAGGTCTTTGAATTGTGGT